CTATCAAAGAATCCTAAAAAAAAAAAAAAAAAAATGTTTTCAACATTGATAAGAAGAAATGTTTTTTGAGCACCAAATCAACATATTAGAATGATTTCTGGAGGTTCAAAGACTGGAGTAATAATGCTAAAAATTCAGCTTTGCATCACAGTTATGAATTACAATTTCAAATATATTAAAATAGAAACTTTAAATTGTAATAATATTTCACAATTGTGCTGTTTTTACTGTATTTGTTATCTAATACATGCAGCCTTGGTGAGCATAAGAGACTTTTCAAAAACATTAAAGGTGACATATTATGCCACTTTTTGTTCTTTCAATCACTTTACGTATACGTCGACTTTCCATGTCCATTATTTGTGAAACCCGCGAGACACAACAAAATTGGTTATGTCTGTGAAGGTAAACAGCTGGGAAATAAATCGTTTGTTTATTTTAGATCTGTGTGGCAGCAGCGATATACAGTAGCCTAAATAAATCAATAAATGCACTGCTTTCTTGTCTCCTCTGAGGCTGGGACTCTATAAATAGTGTTCTATGCTGGTCTGTGCAGCCAAAGACAGAGCAGTTAGCATGTTTTGCTCAAACTTTCGCCATGGCATTAGAGCTGGTACACCATTGTCGCTTGCAAAATCAAAATGACGGTGCCTTGAGTGGAAGTTTACAGATTAAGGGGCGGTAATATTATAATGAGATCCCTTTGCCACGTCACCAAGGGAGCGAAATCAGACGCGCTCGTTTTCTCAGACGCTTGCAGAAAAAGGCTTACCAAAACAAAGTTACTGGGTTAATCTTTTTCACGTTTCCTTGGTTGGTAGATGCACCAGGGACCTGATTATAGCACTTAAAACCTGGAAAAGTCAGATTTTCTTGATATGTCACCTTTAAATAATCTTACCGACCCCAAACTTTTGAACATTGGTGTACATTTGGAAATAACAGAAATATGTGCACTATTTTTAGGTTAATGTGGCACAAGTGCTTCTGTCATTGAAGTGAAAGCGGATAAACCAAATTCTACTTCTGGAATTCAGTATTTTTCTCTTCAATTTATGCATTTAAATATGTATGCTGACAGATGTATGCAAAATAGAAACATTTTTGCCTGTGGACCCGTTGTGTATATTTACATT